GGCCACGTATTGCTTCCCACCACCAAGTATTTCTATGGTTCACACATACCCCCGGTGTCCCCCGTTTTGGCGTTTTTCGCGTGGTCGTTTTGCAAAGATATGGGTCCCACCGCTCTTTTTCTGGGTTTTTAAAGGGACCGGAAACCTTTTTAAGCCCCTCCCAAATTCTCTCTGCTGCTTGTCGTGATTTGTCTCTCCCACTCCGGCCCCTCTAAAAATACATAAAATTTTTCCAATCCCCTCTAAAAATACATAAATTTCCCTTTTATCTGGTCTCCACAAAACGCGCCCCTCCCCTTCCTCCCATTGGTGCGTGTATGTGTCTTTTATCCCCACTTCCGGCCCCCTTTAAAAATGTTCGTTTTGAGTGTACCCGGGAAATTGTGTGTGTGCTCTTTTGTGTGAATTACTTTCATTTTATTGCCCTCGTCGTCATCTCTCTCTCTCGGCTCGGCTCGCTCGACTCCTCTCTCTCTCGACTGCGATAAATATTTATTATACAAAATCGTGGTGTTTTTTTCGATCTCCACTCGAGTACGAAACGATACAGTAAACAGATTGTGATGTTTTTAATTCATTACGTGTTGAAAATCTGGATTTTAGAGCTTAATCGATTACGCTATGATGTTGTCTTCTCGATTTTCACGGTCTAAACGATTACGCGATCAATTTAGCTGCTTTTTGTAGCGTGATCGATTACGACGTGTAAATTAGCAAGATCTTCTTCGATCGATCACGGATAGTATTTTTAGAGCGTAATCGAGGGTAACATGCATTTTTTTGGGGGTTAGACAGCGAAAAAAGGTCATTTTTGCAAGGCACTTTACAGTTTTAAATGCGATATTTAATTTTCCAATTTAAAATCGAGTGAATTTGTTAAACTTGGTCGCCGGCCGGCTCTCGGCCTGCTAGCAGTCCTTGGCCCATATGCTGCGTTTCGATAATGGTGGCGCGGCGGGACATTTTCTTCTTCACGCAGGATTGGGCTGGAAATGAAGAGGGTTGAGGCAGGCTAGCAGAGATTTTTGGGGCATTGGAGGGCAAACTAGCACGGTTCTATGCGGAATTCGAGGGCAGGCTACCAGGGATTTTTGGGGAATTGGAGGTGGCAGGCTAGCAGTGAAAATTTGCGGAATTGGATTTTTTTCCGTTTTTCAGTCTTTAATCTCACTTACCGATAAATTGTATCATTTCAGCCCTCAGCAGCGGCTGGCAAGAGGCGTAAATCGGCAGCCGCAGCGAACAGGCCACGATCGGCAGTATGGAGATGGCGTCGACGGAGAGGATGTAGAAGGGCATGAAGCTGGAATCGGCGCATTAAGGAGGGGTTGGTGGTCTTTCTCTCTGTCTCTCTCTCTCTCCTCTCTCTCTCTCCCTCTCTCTCTCTTTCTATCACTCACGTAGGTGTCCACAGCGACGCCGGGTCGAACATCTCCCATACCGTAATCACCATGCTCAACAGATTGCTCATCAGATGCGTCAGTACGATGATTGACAGCGTACGCGTCGCGGCGCGAATTCGGGCCTGAAATTCCGCAAATTTCCTTTGCTAACTTGCCCTCAAAATTGGTTTGATTTTTCAATGAATCCTTGCTAGCCTGTCTTCCATTTCCTCAAAGAATCTCTGCTGGTCTGCCCTGGATCTTGGCGAGGGTAGCCTAGCAGAGATCTTTGAGGAAAGGGCTCCGTTTGCATACCTTCTTCTGTCGTACATTCTGCTTATCCCCCATCACGGCTCCATTCGCCCCGGTGGCGACTGCCTAAAAATTTAATTTCTTTGAGTTCAATTCAGTTTATTTAATTTTTCTAGACGTCTGCCGACCTGCCTGAGCCGCACCTCCACCCCGCAGAGCAGCAGATTGAGCATGAAGAGCACGAGGAACGGGAAGACGATGGTGAAGATGTTCCGGAACCAGAGGCGCCAGTACTGGAAGGTGATTTTTTGGAACTTTCGCGTTTTCCAGAGACAATTTTGAATGTTTAGGCGTTTTAAAGGGATGGTGACATCTAGGAATTGGCCACAAAATTATTTTTTTAGAAGTCTCTGATTTTTGAAACATTTATTACTTTTTTCGGGTTTTAACGGGATGGCGACATGTAAAAACTATGCGTAAAACCTCGAAATACAGTAATATTATTATTCTGAGTACTGTAATTTTTACCTCATACAAATGGGCGTGCACAATTTTCCCGGGCATCAGCCCGAACTCGTTGAAATGGCCGAAGCACGTCTCGTTGTAGGTGATCTGTAAAATGGGGTTAGACTGAGCCTAAGCATAAGCCTAAGCCTAAGCCTAAGCCTAAGCTAAGCCAAGCCTGCGCCCAAGCCTACCTGAATCTCAAGAGGTATCGTACTCTTGGGAAAAACGCCGCACATCACAGCTACGGTAGCGAGTAGACAGCGATTTCTTTGTAGTAGTTGAACAGCTCGTGTGTTGAGCGTGATACAGAATCTGAAACAGGGGCAGGCTAGCAGAGAACTTTGAGGAAAGGTGACATTTTCATAGCGTAATCGATTTTCTAGAAAAAAATCGGGGTTTGATGACCTAATCGATTTGAAATCGGTAAATTTGGAATGAAAATGGGCAGGCTAGCAGAGACCTTGAGGGAAATGGGCAAGCTAGCAGGTATCTTTGCGAAAATCTTAATTAAGTTAGTTTCATGGCGTAATCGGTTCTTTTCAGACTTCTTGGGCGCCGGAAGGGACATCGTAGGTCTCTGCTAGCCTACCAGACGATCTACAATTTTCTCAAGGATCTCTGCTAGCCTACCCGGAGGATACTGTAATTTTGGGTCAGATTTTTCTGTTTTTGTCAATATGGTTTTTATTTTTCTAGCTTCTACGCAACAAAGAAGAGACCGTCAGATGACCTCGTCCTCCCCTCCCTCCTCAAGGCTCTCTGCTAGCCTGCCCCCGACTCTGGGCCCTTCAGAAGTGCTGCTGATGGGCTTGAGGCAAATAGTGTGAGTTTGCATGCGGGAATCGTGGTTTTGGGGTTACTGTACTTTTTGGGGGTACGGTATTTTTGGGGTTGCTGTAGTGCCTTTAAAATGGGGGATTTTTCAAATCCTTTTTCCGTTTCCGGTTTTGAACTTTTGGGGGTACGCTATTCCCTAGGTTACGGTATATTACACTTCCCGGTGCCTTTAAAATATGAGAACTCAGGATATGTGATTTTTTCGGTTGAAAACGTTAAATTTTACGTTAAATGGCTTAAAAAGTGGCTTAAAATACGGGATTAAATTTTTTGCATTTTTCATACCTTTCCACTGCCGCAAAAACGATCAAATAGACGCTAGCCGTTTGCGCGATATGCGAGATTGTCAGCATCGGGATCATGTAGCTCATCCTAGAAAATGGACTTTTTCGTCACTGACTATCTCTCTCTCTCTCTTTCTCCTTCTATTTTGCTATCTTTCTTTCTTTCTTTCTTTCTCCCTCTCCCTCTCTCTCTCTCTCTCTTTCTCTCTCTCTCTCTTTCTCCTTCTATTTTGCTATATCTTTCTTTCTTTCTTTCTCTCTCTCTCTCTCTCTCTCTCTCTCTCTCTCTCTCTCTCGCTCTCTCTCCCTCTCTCTTTCTCTTATTTTTACAATCAGCTCGTCAAGCTATGTTTTTCACTAAAGCTAAGGCAATCTTTAGAATATTCAAAATTCCTCCCATTTTTCAACGCTTTGTAAATGCTGCAATTTTTGGGGATTTTGACTGGAATTTTTGAGTATTTTCACTGCCATTTTCTGGGGGCTTACCACATTTTCCTGAGCGCGTAGCTGCCCGTCCAATTCGTCAGCACCCTCACCGCCATTAGTGCACAGTAGGAGATCGAGAGAAACACGTCGAAAAAGGCGAGCAGCAGCATGTAGAGGTTGTAGGAGTTTCTGGAGATTTTTGTGAGTTGCAGGGGTTTAAAGGGGGCGTGACATGCAGGATTCAGCGCCCTAGTTTCGACTAGCTTTTTGAGAAGCATGACGCCAAATTCCCAACAATTTTCCGGTCGGTTTAAAAGGGACTGGAAGGTAAGTGTTCTGCTGATTCCCCTACCGATGCTGTCGATTCGTGACGAACAGGAGAAAACAGAAACGTATTCGTCACTATCGATAAGGTAGCCACCGACCCTTCGCTAATTTCGGCCGTAATAAAGAAACGCTCGTAGAGGAAGTCTCCGAAATGACAGAGATTTACAGGGTTCATTGAAGTCTAGGGTCTTATGAATTTTCCTAGATTGACCATTTTCCTTCAAGGACCAATCAAGCATGCTTTTTTGGTTTTAAAGGACCATTGAAGGCATGATCTGGCGCTTTCTAAAGGGCTACGGAAGATCTGTTCCTAATAGATTTTCCCATAAAAAAAGGGGTTTAAATAGGTAATTGAAGTAGCTTTAAGATTTGATCAGGAGATTGATTAAATTAGATTTTTAAATTTTAAAATTTGGGGTTTTTAAAGGACCATTGAAGGAAGTGGATCTTCCAGAGTTTTCTGGGCTTCCGTAGCAATGTTTTTAAGCCCAAGAGAAGTCAATTTTTCAGGGTTTAGGGCCGTTTTGAAGCCTGGGGAAAACGGGGATTTTTGTAGATCTCCATATTTGATTTTTTAGGTTTTCAGGGGCCATCGAAGTAAAAATTTGTTATTTTAAAAGGACCAGTGAAGTCAGCTTTCGTTTGACTTGCTCCGTCAAGCAGCATCGCAAGATGCTGGAACGTCTGATTGACTTGTATGAAGGGCTACTCTGCCATTTTGGACTCCCGGTTCGAACAGATAGACTCCTTCTTCCATTTCTGGGTTATTAGCGGGGATTTTGTAGTTTATAGCGATTTACGGTGGACTGTAGGTTGTCTAAAAACGTCGGAATCGATTATGACATTTAAATACGAGTAGGAATAACTAGGAAAGGTTATTGAAGAAAGACAGGGCCAGCTAGCAAAGAAACATTTTAGGACTTGGAGGGGCAGGCGAGCAACGATTCTTTGAGAAAATGGACCAGGGCCAGCCCTGGCAAGAGATTCTTTTAGGACTTG